TGAAATTACTTTGCAAAAAAAATAATTTAATTAATATTGGATCCCTAATAGTTTCTAGTTCTTGTTTGTTTTCATTAAAATTAGTAGTTAATTTTCGCTGAAAAGGGTATACCACATTCAAATTAATTCAATTTTAGCACATTTTCGAAAAAATTAATAGAAACAAAAGTTCTTATTAATTCCATATGTTCAACCGTTCGCCTGTTCATTTATTAATAGAAATTCTAATTAATAGAAGAATTTTTTTCGTAATTTACTCTCCCTGAAAGTTATAACCCCCAAAAGTTGTAAAATTGCCACTTTTTATGACCTACTCTGTTGAATTACCTATTCAATCACATAACCTCCCTTATTGTATGAAATGCGGTCGGGTAAATGAAAAGTTTTAAAACAGCTTAAATTGTTTAAAGAAATGTGCTATTTTATAAACCATTGCTTTTAATCTAAATTTATTTAATTATTGGAAAACGCACATTATGCGAAAATGCCTGAAATATGAAAAGAAATTGTAAAATTCATTGAAATTTTAAATTTCAGTCGAAATTTTTCTAACAGTTTAATTATTTTAATTCTCAAATTTCATAGGGGAATTCCTACAAATTTGAATTGCATCATGTAAAAAACAAGCATATCATTTTTAGTTATAAATCATCAGAAATTTCACTGCAAATCTCCATAGAGCATCTTTTAAACATATAATATATAGAGATACCTGCAAAATTTGAGAAAAAAAAATAAATCAATTTTGATCTTTTCAAAAATCAAGAAAAATTATGGTTTGCTATTTTTCAGTGTTAATGAAATTTAATGTCCAAAACATAAATTTTTTATGATTTGCTTAATTTTCATTAGTTGTCGGATTCAACTAAATTTAGTTACTGTAAAAATAAAACATAAACAAATAATCATTATGTAAATTATGACTAACTGTAAGATTATGACACCACCACCATTAGATATATACAATTCACTTAATCAGTTAATCTTATAGTCACAAACAACAAAATATTATTAGTTATTTACAGATTATCGCATAGTCACAAATTAGAAATTATCCAAATTAGTTTAAGAAGAAATTTTTTACACTTATTTTACACAACTTATGGTTCAGCTTATTTATACAGCCGTACGAGTATATGAATGATTATAATAATGGAAAAAAAAATTACTGATGAGAATTTAAGTGCACCATAATTTATTCTAATTTAGATATTATAGGAAATTTATTAGGATTAAAACGTTATTATACATGATGAAATATGAAATGAAAAATTAAGCAAGAATTCAATTAAAAAATTTTCTGGCATGAATAAATTTCCACCTATTTATTACAATGTTACGAAATGCAAAGCTTATGAAAATAAAATTTAACATGCATTATTTATTTGTTACTATATTAACAAATATATAGGAGATATTTTATAAACCGTAGAATATGATTTTTGTGTAAATTTGAACCACATTTTAATAAAAAATGGGAGATAATTTTAAGAAAAATGAGTTGAACGTTTCAATTCTGTGATATTACCCGTACGAATAAAAGATTTTAAATGTCGTAAAATAATTGACATACAGCTTTATACAACCTCTTGCTTCGTATATGTCTAGTACTTTTTCATACCTCTGTGGCAGTTACCATATAAACCCATACAACTTAAAAGAGTTTTACTGAGCTATATGAACAAACATAATTGCCTTGAATAATTTCTAACATATGGAAGGCTAAATTACTTTTTGAGTTGTGTGGCAACTATCACAAGCGATCATGACATCTAAACAATTTTTAACAAATGTAGTTTATAATTTTAGCATTTTAGCATTTTTTAACAACAGCACTGTAAGTTGAACAGACTTTAGTCAGCACTGTATAAGTTGAACAGAATAGCTAGTCTTCTTGATCCTTTCAGTTATTGCATTCGTTGCAATTAATATATAGTCAAATAACAAGTTTTATTGACTTTTATCAATTAATAATATATTTGCTTGCGAGAAATTTCAGTACCATAGATGCTATAATTTCTGAGATATAGTCAAATAAATTTTAAAATCGTATATCCAATTTAAATAAGGTTCTAGCATTTACTATATATAATAAATCATTTGCGAAAACTTAGTGAGCTTATCTGAATTAGTTTTTAAGTTATCGTTAAACCAACTGATAACTCGACGCTGATCAAAAACGTTTACTTGAATGTACATATATGAAATATAGTTCCGAAGAATCCGAATTTTTTATAAAAAATTATATTCTGTAAATTTTTTCAACAATTTCTTGGCTCCCCCTCCCGCACCCCAAAATTAGTTAAGTCAACTTATATATTATTTAAATTTTTTTAGAAATATAGGAATTTAACATTCAATTAGGAATTTTTTTCAAGAATTTAACATTCGATTCAATCTATTCGAACAAATTAAAATTAAGCATGCTGTCGTTCATTGCTTTGTTAACTTCTTCGCCACATCAAATAACATACAAATATGTACTAAATTTACAATAATAATGTGACCAATATTAAATAAAAAAAATAATTACAAAAATTTTTTATTTGATTTAGCTCCATAATAATTTTTCAAATCTAAAATTATTATTATCGCATCGATATTCATTGATTATTTTTCTAATTCAATATAATTTATACATTTTTAATGCATTTTATAGCAATGATATTAATTTTTATATATGAAATATAAAATAAGAGCTACATATATTGTACAAATGCAATTTCAATTTAATTTGAAAAATTTGTGATAAAATCTGAACATTATAATTACAAAAATATATGAAAATTATATTATTTAATTTAAATTGAATGACATGACAAAATATACATAAAAGTATAATTTTTTATTATATTATTATATTAACATTATTGGTCGTTAAAATTATTGTGTAATAATAACATTTTTATTCCAAAAATAATTATACAATTAAATTTTTAATAATAGATGTTTGAATTGATTTTATTTTCATACGAAATTAAATATAGAAAAATAATGGTGCGTTATTTTTCTAATTGTTAAATGCACTTTTGAAATATCATAAATAATTTTAATTTTAAATAGGAAGCAAACAAGGTTATGATTATTTCTTTATTGATGGCTAATATATTATGGAAAATAATTTTTTCGGATTATTGTTAATATTGAATTATATATGTACATAATAAACATTCTATTTTATAACAAATATGACAAATGCCTCCTGTATGTAGTAAATTAATTGAATTGTAAGGCGATAATTGCTTGAAAGAAATTTTGTTAGGCACTTATGAAGCGTTATATTATTATGACAAGGTTCTATTACTCTTTCATACTAAAAACAAGTAATGTTTTAGTACGCATTTCAATACAAACATTTCTTGTACAAAATTTCCTAAAAACCACTGTTAATTTCTTAATGAAGTAGAGTTAGTAACAATTCCAAACTATGATACATAATGAAGTAGAATTATAGAACTATTTCCTAGCTATAATAAAGTGTTCAAAATCTAGTTTAAACAGAAGCACATTTGTAATTAAATGAAATTAAAGTGGTTAGAACTCTTATAATTAGAACGCAAAAAACAAATATTTTATCTTTTATGTTCAATAGTTCTATTTATAAAAGCTATTGAAAAGCTTAATTTTTAAAATTTCTTATTTAACTTTGACTTTGCATTTAATACAATTAATTAACAAAATCTCAATCACAAAAAAAAATTATTCACCCTTAGGCACTTCTAAACTCATCAGAACTCTTATCAAATTTAATACTGAAATCATAATAAAGTTCTAGTTTTATATTTAAAATTCTTATTTAATTAACAAGAAACTAGAATTAAAATTTTTGATAATCTACATAAAATTTTAGTATATAAGTCTGAAAATTTTTGTACTCAAACATCATTCAAAGTTCTTAGATCTTTTGAAGATTTTCTCTAAAATAAATTTTGAAAAAACACAAAATAAACCAATTTCATCATGAAATTCGTAAGTTATTACAATATTAAAAATCAAAGAGATAAATAATATTTATTTTTCTTTATATTATATAGTTAGCCTTCTTGGTCCTCTTAGTTATTGCATTCGTTGCAGCTGAACCAATCCCAGAACCAGATCCACAAATACTTACAACAGCAAGAGTTTCACCAGTCATCTATTCTTCACCATATGTTAGAGTTGCATCACCATACGCATATACAAGAAGTGGACTATATTATGGAGGTTATTATGATGGACTTGGTTCTAGAGCTGTTTATTTGTAAAATTTATAGCTGAATCCAAAACGCAAAAAAAAACATTCGCTGAAATAAAACAAAACGATATTGTTGTATACTCAAAGGAAAAAAAAAAATCATGATCGTAAATGAGAATATTAATAAAATATGATTTATGAGATTTCATTCAAACTTAAATAAAAAAATTTTGCTACAAATAACTTTTTCAAAAAAAATTTTTTTTTTAATTTTTATTGCAATGTTATAGTAGTAAATATATTTTAGGTAAATGTATGATTAAACATAATTCCAACTCCGTTAATTCTTCATACTCAAACTAGGCATTAAACAGATTATAGGGGTGGGCAAATTGAGCAGATTTTCAAGAATCTTCATCATTCATAATAATTTTAAATTTACTTTTCTTTTGGAATATTTTATGCATGGTCTAAAGAGTCCAATAGCTGACTCCATTGTAGTTCTAAACTTTAAAATCTATATTAACCAAATGTATTGTGTGAAGTCGTCCTCCGTAATAATATTATTCAAAAAATCAAATTCTCATTCAAGTTTATCTATTTTTTTTTTTATTTTTCAATTTTTTTTTTTTTCATATAGTAGTTTCAGCTTTTTTTTTTGTTTTGTTTAACTATTAATTAATTAATTAAGTATGATACCAAAATTATTTACAAAAGTTGTCATTTTTCTTCGAAATAAATTTCTATAAAAAATTTACATCACAACAAAACATTCACAATTATTTACAAATCTATGAAAAAATTACATTAATAATACTATCAGTTCCTAGGCCCATCCTCCACTTGGCTGCCATCCACCTCCTAATCCACCTCCTAATCCTCCACCGTATCCACCTCCATAACCACCACCAAAACCACCGTGTCCGCCACCAAAACCACCATGTCCGCCACCAAAGCTACCAGCATCTACAACTTTTATAACTTTAACAACACCACCTCCGCCAATAGCTCCGCCTCCATGGCCACCACCAAATCCTCCTCCATAACCACCACCATGACCGCCACCAAATCCTCCGCCATAACCAGCGCTATGACCACCAAATCCTCCTCCATAACTACCTCCGTGACCACCACCAAATCCTCCTCCATAACCACCACCATGACCACCACCAAAACCTCCTCCATATCCACCTCCACCACTGCTTATAACTTTAATAATTTTAACACCTCCACCACCTCCTATTCCACCACCATGCCCACCTCCATAACCCCCACCATAACCTCCTCCAAAACCTCCATGACCACCGCCTATTCCACCGCCAAATGAAGCTCCCCCGCCTGCCCATCCTCCATGGCCACCGCCACCATAACTACCAAGACCTCCGCCACCGCTTAATATACCAGCCGAACAGACGGCAATAACTGATAATAAACAAATGAATACCTGAAATGACATTCATTGATTAGAATACTTGAAAAGCATAGCACTTATTTAAAAAGTATTAACTCTTAAATTATATTTATAAATAAAAAGGACTACTCTAAATTTTATAGAAAGTTTTTTTTTTGATAATCATTGGAAAAAATATAATAAATTTACATTTGAATTAGAAAATACAATTAATTTTAAGAGAAAGTTATCACTTCCAACTTCTTTAGAATTATCACTATTTTAAAATGAGGAGCCTGGTATCCAAATTGCACTAATCAGAAATTACCACTAATTAATTACTATTACACAATTCAGAATTGAATTGTGTAATAGTAATTAATCACTGCAATTAGGATATCAGGTAAAGCTACTTTCACTAATAATTTTTAAGAAGGTCCTTTCTTCAATTTAAATAATTAAAATCTTTTTTTTTATAAAAAATTCTTTTTTTTTTTTAACAATTCCTCTTTATGTTTTTTTACTTCCGGAAAATTTTTTATTTAAATGCAATTTCATTGTTTTTCCTTTCAATTCCTTATAAATAAATCATATAAAAGCTCCGAATAAAATAGTTATTATCCTTTTTATATTGTAAATTAAACTTGAAAATATCGTAAGAAAATAATAATTTTCCACCGGGATATTGAATTAATATGTATACAAAAATAAATACCTTCATGTTGTCGGCGATTATAATTAAATTTTATTAACCGAAACCGAAACCACAACTGATAGTCTCTTGAGATGGACCAATTCTTTTTATACTAAAAATGAAAAATTGGAAAATAAATTTTGCAAGTGCAATGCTATTTTATTTTTCATTACATTGTAATTTTTCATATACGATATACAAAACAAAAAATATTCTCCAATATCTCCCCGCCAAACATTAAAAATTTTGAAAACAAAAACAAAAAACACATTGCATAGGTACATGACAATTCTTTGTGGAGCACTTGTACAAAACCGAGTACATCAAAGAAGGTGGGATAATCATAAAAACAAAAAAGAAAAAAAACACAAAATCAATCCAAAAATTAAAGAAGAAGAAAAAACTCAAAAATAATCACAGTTAAAATGAAATGTTTACAACGAAAATTTGTATACATCGTGAGGTCTCATAATTTGCGAAGATATGGTAAAACATAAGGCAACATGAAGAGTTATATTAATTTTACAGTAAATGTACATATGTAGGTATACATTCATAGATACTTCTGTCTGATTGAAGTAAATTAGGAAGGTATATAAATTTAAGTGAGAGAAACGTCAAGAGAAGTAAAATGAAGTAATAAGTTTTATCATGGTCATTTTAAAGTTTTTCAGCAACAAAACAATACCAACAACAACCTAAAAGCAAAAGATTAAACAAAACAACAGCAACAATGTTTATGTGATAATGTTATAAGAGAAAGAGAGAGAGAGCAGCAATATCATTGAAATAGCGGCAATTTAACAAAATTACACAATTTCTTTTACGGTTATATTTCTTATATACATACTTATTAGTATAAACATACTGTGTAATAAAATATTTATGTATATTGATATATAAAAAAGGTAACGGAAGGTAAAATAATATGAGTAATACGGTTAAATACATAAAAAATACATCAAATATCCGAAAAATCAGAAAAAAATTTTTAAAAAATTTTTAACAGTCAATTGGGAATCGAAAACCTGACAATATGAACAAAAGAAAATTGCAAAAAATTGCATAAAAACAATTGAATGTTTATTTTTTTTTTCATTTTAATTTTGCTATTTATGTATATATACATATATATGCAATAAATAGGATGCAAAAACTTTTATATAAATATGCATGAGAGAAATTTTTCTTTCTAAGTTTTCTTAAATTTTGAATTAAGCTAATAAAAATATTTAACAAAATTAGTTAACCCTTTCAGACTTAACCACGATTCAGACTTAGTTTTTTTTTGAAGTAATAGTGATAAATACAAAAATATGGGTCTCAAAGGGTTAAAATAACATTATACATAAACAATTTTAATAATAATAACCAAGCATTGAATTTTAATTTGAAGTTTTATCCATGAAATTTATTGCAAATTGTGAATAAAACTGAAATTATTTTTTGAAAAACATCATTTTCCTAAAACAGAACAAAATTTTAATTGCCGTAATATTGACGCAACATTCGTTTTATGATTACATTCAGCTAGTTTGACATTACAATCTTTATAGTATGTTGTCAAAGCAATTTGATTCTAAATATAATTTTTCAAAACTCTAGTGACCTGGAATGTTTAACTGAAATTCGAAGTAAATCAACTAGCCAGAATGGAAGTCAACTTTTGTCTTTAACAATTTGTCAAGTCTACCCACTACTTTAAAAGGAGCTGACATAAGAGAGTATATCTTGCATATCATGCTAATTTTTTTGTGCAATGCAATCACATATTTTCTTTTAAGTATTGTATAAAACATCAATAGATGTGGCAAATTGCATCTATAACACTATCGTTTCCCATGTCACTTTACGATTATTTGTGAATAATTTATTTGAATTCATTAAAATTGCAGTTATATTTTTAGCATTACAACCTTTGTTATTTGTTTTGATATTATGATGTACTGCATTTATAAGTTATATAACATGACTACCACAGATACATACATACTGCACTTTTATATTACACATAAATTGCAATATTTAAAATAAATAACATTTTAATCAAAATATCCAATGATTTTTTTTAAATTAAAAAAAATTTTTTTTGATTCATCCTTTTGTCTGGTTTATCAATCTCATATGTACATAATGTATATAAGTCTATATGTAAATAATTGCTTTAATATACGTATTTATATATGTATGTACGTATGTTAACTCATGTTTGATTGCCACAAATTCCATAATTTTTTGAATTGCTTTTTAATTTATTGTAAATTATTTCTTAGTTATTGAAGATTTTATTGTAGATATTACCACATACGTATGACTGTGCATTAAAATGTAAATCTGCGAGGAATTGAAAATTGACTATATAGAGACAGGAATTGAAATATATAAAAATTTCATGAACAAAAAATAATAATAATTTTTTTTTGTAAATTTTAAAAAATATTGAATGTGCATACATATATAATTTGTCAAAATTTGTTTAAAATTTATTGCATATTTCTTGTACGCTGACAATTAATATTAACTTCGGAAGAACTTAAAATTATTAAAACCATCATATTATATATGTACAATTCGATTAATTGCAAATCGGGAATTTTAAAACATAAAACCCTTTATTATCTTGCTGATGAGAAACAATTGATAGCTTTTGTTTTTGAGATTCCTTATATTCGCTACTATGTTATTTAATCCTTAATTTATTTAAAGGAAAATGTTATTAAAAGAGAAATAACAATTTATCCAATTTACCAATTTTATTTATTTAGAAATGTATGTATATGTATGTATTATCTATGTATGTCAAATATGAAAAAGAAAATTTAAATGGGGAATCAAATTGAAAATTGTAGATGCATAACATTAAATGAATCTCTGTATAGTGCGGTAAAGTAAAAAGGCGTATTCGAACTAGTATTCTTAAATTTTATTAACTTTAATAAAGAGATTAGTGTTACAAGTATTTGTTTTACAGATATTGCTATGGTAAAAATCCAAAACTATCCTATTTTGAAAAAGACTACTGCTGAAACTTAAATGTTGATATGATTTTAGTTTACTACGATTGTAAACTGTTTTTGCAGTTGCTGAAAAATTACGAGTATAATAGTCAGATACGTTTTTAATAAACAACTTTTGCTCTCTAATAAAATTTGTAACTTCGAGCTTAAAGAAATGAAAATTACAAATATGCGATGAATTTTTTAAAGTCTTAGTTTGTAGTCGTAATTTTAAAAATTTACAGTCAAAGTATTGCTGTATTTCCAAAAATAATTCTTTGGCAGTTCGTGTAGTAAGTATTCGATTACTAAATTTGCAACAAATGAAATACTAGAATTGAACTGAATTATCAAAAATACTCGACTTCTCAAAAAAATTTGCGTAAATTAAAAGTGATAATATTATTATCGTGCCATTATTAATATTCATACAAATATGTGGAAATTTTAATATGAAACGAAGGTTTAAAATTAAATGACAAGCAAATTTTTCAAAATTTAGATCTTCGCTCAAAAAAAAAAAAAAAACGAAAAACTCATGTTGAAATCTAAAAATTCACTGTCTAATATTAATTATCATTAAAAAAGCAAAAAAAAAAACAGAAATTATGTAAAATTAAAACATAAAATAATTATTTAAAATTTTCATCCAAATCACAATTACCTAACCTAAATTCAGTTATAATTGTACAAAATGTGTTAAAAAAATTATAAAAACTGAAATATTTTTTATGTTGATTTAATCTATGGCTTATATTTTATGCAAACATGCGTTTATTATACTTACATATTATATTTAAAGTTTTACGCACATTATCGACTAAAATAAGAGTTTTACACTTTACATTTTGCCGACTTACATTCTATAAGGTCAATATAGACTTGTGAGTTGTTTTAGTAATATTTTATATTTTTATTATACAAGTATATCAAGGTTACAACATTTTACAATGATATTTTAAAAGATATTTTATATTGAATACATTTAATTATTAATAAAATTTTAAATATAAGGTGACAGCAATTAAAAATCATTTTCAGATATAATTTTAATATTAAATGCCCCTTTTTAATAAATTAAATTTTTTTTTTCTATACTTAATAAAAAATAGGTTTTTTATTTTAAATTAAAAGTATAACATTTAATTAAATTAAATATGTTATCAAACTCAAGGTTTCTAAAATAGTAAATTTCCCTTCAACTGTTTTCAACTATTTAACTTTCAAGATCTTAACTTAAGTACCTATACACCGTATTTGATCTAATTAAATAAAAAATTGAAGTAATACCCCCAATACTGTATAATTTTTTACAAACTTTTGGGGATTTTTAAAATAATAATGTTCAAGAAAAATTTTGTGATATTCTTGCTTATTAGAAGTGCGTTGAATCTTAAAGTACCAAAAAAATGGTAATTCGAAAAATGGCAATTTGAAAACTTTAATGTGTATAACAAAAAGGCTGGTTATGAAAGACCAAATCAACTGCGTTTACAGAACTTACTGTTATCTTTGGTTTGATTACAATTGCTGTGAATAAAAAAAATTTACTTTTTCAATTACTAAAAGCTAATGAAGAAAGGTGAGGGTGTGTAAAAGAAATTATGTTCTAAGGAAATAATAAATTCCTAAACTAAGATGTATTTATCCATAAAATTTCATCGTTTCTATCTTGAACGATATATAAGCTTAATAAACAGTGATACAGGAAAACAAAGGGACAGGTTCTCGATTGTACTAAAAAAACAAGAACACTCTCATATAATTTTCAAAATTTAACAAATTTAATTCAAATATATAAATCAATTTTTAAATTAAATGCACATACAATTGAAGAGTCATCATTACAAAATTTACGTATAAAAGTTATAAATATAGAAATAACGAAATCAAATTAAAATAAATTTTTCATTTACTAATGATAAATATCAATTTATTTAAATATTCTGTTTTTAATATTTATACAAGCAATTATCAAAAAATTGAATATTCAATCGGCGTATTTAACTTAAAGCACTTTATTCCTGTAAAAATAAAATATTTTTGTATAACACTTTCATACAACAAATATACAATATAATATTATAACGCGAA